GTATCTTCATCACCTCTGTCTTCTCTATATTCACTGAAGTCCCGTCTTAGCTGCCTCTTCTATCAACTTGTTAGTTTTTGCCTGCAGATCTTCAAGTTTATGTGAAATTAGGCACAAGTCATCGGCGAAATCCAAGTCTTCTAGGTTCTTTTCCGTCGTCCAGTGTATCCCCCTCTTCTCGCTGCCTACTGTTTGCTGCATGATCCAGTCCACCACAATCAAGAATATCATGGGGGATAGTAGGCAACCTTGTTTCACTCCTGTCTTCACTTCAAAGGCATCACTGAGCTTCCCATTGTGGATTACTTGGCATGTAGCATCTTCATATAGTTGTTGAATGAGGCGGATAAAGGTTTGCGGTACTCCGTAGTATTGAAGCAGTTTCCAAATTACTTCTCGGTCGACGCTGTCAAAGGCCTTCTCAAAGTCGATGAAGTTGAGGTAGAGAGCTGATTGCCATTCTATGCTCTGTTCTATGATGATGCGAAGCGTTGCAATTTGGTCTGCACATGATTTGTACTTCCTGAAGCCTGCCTGTTCCGGTCGTAGTTTTGAATCCAGTGCATCCTTAGCCTCTCCAGGATGATGCGGCTTAATATTTTACTTGCTCTGGGTGGACAGGAGAGTGATTCGGCCAGTTCTTGCAAGCACTGAGGTCTCCTTCTTCGGCAGTTTGACAAGGTAACCCTTCTTCCATCAATGGCCAGGTACCTTCTCTTCCTTCCACACCTTCTGCAATAGTGGTGTGAGCATGTCCGCTGTTGTCTCTGCATCTGTTTCAGTGCTTCTGGCGGTATTCCATCTGGTCCTGCTGCTTTCCCGCATTTCAGTAGCTTTATGGCGTTCAGGACTTCCATTTTCGTTGGGGGATTAATGTTCACTTGTAGTTCAGCGGCTGCAGGTGGTATTTCTGGACGAAGTGCAGGTGGTGGTCGATTCAAGAGCTTCTTGAAGTGGTCGGCCCATCGTTTCCTCTGTTTCTCTTCTTTTGTAATTAAATTTCCTTCTTCATCTTTTATTGGTTTCATCTGTGTTGGTCTATTCCCTGATAGCAACCTGGTTATTTGATACAATGTTGTCAGGTCTCTCTCCTACCTGCAGCCTGTTCTGCTTCACTTGCCAGTGTCTTAGAAGTGTCTTTTGTCTTGCGTGCACTCTTCTTCACTTCTTTGTCCAGTGTTTTATACATTGTGCTCAGTTCCTCTCTTATTGTGCATCCTTGCACTGGTTTATCTTCTGCTTCACCATCCTCCTCTCCTCTATCAGCTTCCGTGTATCCATCGAGATCCATTTCTTATCTTCTTTCTTCTTCTGTCCTAATACGGCTGTGCAGATTTCTTTCCACATCTCTTTCAAAGACTTCCAGTGTTCTTCCACACAGTTTCTTCAGGGATGTTCCTCGATATCTCCCATTTTGTCTTGATGGCTGCCTTGAAGATCTCCTTTGTAGTTTCATCCTTCAGTTTCCGAGTGTTGTACTTGAACTGGGTCTATCACCAGCTTCCTTGAAGGCTTTTAACTTGATTTGGAAGGTTCCTTGCACTAGATAGTGAGTGGTGTGAACCTACATCTGCTCCCTTTTTGACTTGTGTAAGTAGACTGCGTCTCCATTTTCTTGAGATTGAGATAAAGTCGATTGATTTTTAGTGTGTCCATCTGGTGAAATCCATGTCGCTTTGTGGATATCTTTGTGCCTGAACACACTGCCTCCAATCAACAAATCATTGAATGCACAGAATTCTGCAAACAATTCTCCATTCTCATTCATTTCACAGCGCCTCTCGACCCATGGTTAGTTCTTTCCTGTGTTGTCCCCTCCCAGTTTGGCATTCATGTCGCCCATTAGAATTTTGATATCGCCAACTTGTCTTGTCCAGTGTTGATTGAGTTGTCTGTAGAAATCCTCCTTTTCTCTTGCTCTGCATTATTTGTAGGTGCATGCATAGCATTGTATGATTGTGACCTTCTTCCTTTTGAGTTGAATCTTGCTGTCATGATCCTGGAGGAGATTGGTTCCACTGCATGAGAGCCTTCGATGCTCTTGAGGACATCATGATAGCCACTCCCTCAGTGTGCTCGTGGTTGTCGTCTGGTGACCGGAGTAGATTATTGATTCTCCAGTTGATAGTTTGAGAGTCACTCCCATTCCATCTTCTTTCGCAAATCCCAAGCACTTCGATGTTATACCTTCTCATCTCTTTGCAATCTGGGCTGCCTTACTGGGTTCAAACATCGTGCGGGCATTCCATGTCCCCACGTTTGCTTTCGCTTTCATCGAGAGAAGACACATCGGCCAATTGGCTTCCCGAGAGGCTTCACCAACTGGCGTCATTTCGCCTCTCCGATTCCAGCGGGGAATAAGTTTGTTTTCATTTTTTATATTTTGTTTGTGCTTTGAAGTTTCTTTAGCGGTTAGATTTGTTTTCCGGGTAGGGTTGCTAGCCCTATGCCAACCTTCCCTCTTTACCCGGGCTTAGGACCGGCTAGTAACTAGTAAACTAGTTAACCAGGCGAGGTTAGCGACTGTAATTACAACTTCCGATTTCATTCTTAAAACGTTTTGACTTGATTTTTTGTGTTATTTACAGATACAATGGCCTTCTCAACAATTAACTTAAATGTACTCACTAACCTGAATAGTCGTCTTTGTTTTGTGCTGGTAAAAACTGATAAAATTCATTATAAATGATTTCAGATAATTCTTAACATCTTATTACATTTATGTGGTCCAAAAAGCATTTAAACAATTCGCTATCGAGCTTTCAACTACTATTTGTCGTATTAATGGAGGATACAGAAATATATCATAGACGCTTAGCAACGCAGCTACTTTCCAACTTGCATCTGGGTAGCAGAGAAGAGTGGGTTTTTGATTCATTCGTAAGGGAAATGACTTGAACAATGGGTGAAACATTTAGAGGAACGGTTCAGATGAAGTTCAGCTTCTATTCAATTATCCGCTATCAAATCGGATTCTCAATACAACACTGAGACAGGTCTTCCAACTGATTCAGAAGTGCAGAAGGCTGCAAGTAACTTCATATGAAGGAAGACATCGAAGCCTGATGACCTATCACTAGAGGAATTTAAAGACAGTGGTCAAAGACTATTGGTGGGATTTGGTAAAGTGTTAGCTAGTGTACTGATTCATGCATGATCCCATTCGACTGACTGTCCTGCTTAACTGAATGTCTTCATCTTTGAGAAAGGAAGAAAAATCCACTTATCAATGGGCTCGTAGCTCGGTCTCTTGACTTCTTTAATTTCCGGATTTCATGCTGAACTTTGTCACAGTATCCGTAGCGGTCTCCATCTCCCATGAACAATCTGTCGTATTTCTTAACCAACTTCATGATGTTTATGACTTCTGATACCTCAATCTCTGCTACCTTCCTGTTTTCCTGCTTGGTGAACGACCTGTACCTTGTCGCCATTATTCCTGTTCTCGTGTTGATAACTGCACCCACTTCTCTAAAAAAAATCAGCACCTAGGATTGTCCATGGTGGACACGTAGTGACAATGAATGGAAATCTCATTTTCTCACTTCCGATCTCAACTACAATCTGATAAGCCTGCAATCTCTAATGCATGTCTCCCAACAGTGTGGACCGTTAAAGCACATGGTCTTATGCTCTGAGACTGACTTTTGTCTATCAGCGAGACTGCCACTCCCACCCCGTATCTATGAGACACAGGATCTCCGGATCATTATTCGTATTCTAGCATACACAGCACCCCTATCTATCGCTCCTACAACATCTAGTCTAGTCGGAATAACGGAACTCACAGTATACCGTTCAAAACGTTTTCTTTTTCGCCTCTCCGGACAGTTTCTTCGTCAGCGTCCCAGTTTTCCCCATGTAAAGCATTTACTCTGTCTGCTGATATTCATTCGAGGTGCAGCCACCTCCTCCTGAAGGTTACCGACTTGTTTTCGTCAGTTATTTACCTCTGGCGACTACACTGTTGCTACTGCTGTAGCCATTACCTGTCTGGTGACCTTGGCCAGCCTACTAATATCCATGGGTTGGACCGCGTTTACCAATCGTAGGTGCTGAGCGAAGGCATTTGGGACACTTTTGGTGAGCTGTGCAGCTAACAACTGTGCCTGGAAGTCATCATCCAAAGTGGGAAGTTCTCATCGAAGAAGTTTTGTCAACTTCACAGCCAGTACCAGTGAATCTTCGTCTATTCCAAGTTTCATGTTCCGAAACTGCTGCATCACTACTTCCCATCCACTAGGCTGCTAAACTCCGCCTGCATTTGTTCAGCCTTTCTCTCCCAAGTCTCCTTCCTATCCACGCGTTCCATGCCGTCATATACCACTTTCGTTCTACCCCTCAGCAACGTACCAAGCACCACAACCTTTGCTCCTGGACCCCGGACACCCACCAGCTATGCGACGAACTAGAAATCCCCGAGGAAGATGTTGATGTCTCCATCATCATGTCCAGAGGCAACGATACTAATTGTAAGAAACGAGACTGAGACTCAGAAAAGAATATTACTGACATCTTGTACAGTGGTGACGAAATATTGTACACTTTCCATTAAAATAATCATTTGCACAATGTGCTTCATTTCCTCTTCTGGCTCTAAATCAATTTGCTCTTAATACACTCAGATTTTCTCTCGCCTTCCTCTGGGCAGAATATTTATCAATCGCTCGTAGTTGTATATCATTTCTGCGGACCTACCAACATATACTACTCATATCTATTCTTATCAGTAGCACCCACTACACTACTTCTACTGCGTTTAAGATAGATGCAACCAGTCAGTCCATCTATTTATATATTCATCTTCAGAGGATTGTTCGTTAATCAAATACAATTATGAGTACATGTATAACAAGTGAGAGATAGAGAGCATAGTGTTAACTATTCTCATGCTGTGACATTACTGTTCATCTCTTGCTAGTGTTCACTGACGGGTGTGAAAGAACGTCTTATTGCTTCTTAGAATAAAAAATACCATATTATCTTCGGATTAGATGAAACTAACCTGATAAAGGTAAGAAAAGTGGAGAAGAAAAACACTTCAGTAATCGATAAATTTGGTGAAGAAAATTTATAATATCAGGTTGTCATTCATCACAGACTGACATTAGATGAAGAAACATTGGAAACCTGGGAGCACTGGACAGCCGTTTCGTCCTAGTATGAGGCTCATCTATAGTGTTCACCAAAGACCCCACCGGAGATCGAACCCAGGACGTTGCCATTGAGGGACTAAGTCAGAGTCCAACGGTCCACATTTCCTACTCTGGTCAGTTCACGATATAGAGTGACCTCAATCCAACTGATCCCAGTCTGTGATCAATATCACCCTGAAATCAATAAATAAATCCATACAAACCTTCAAACTGAATTATCCAAGTGCTCATTAGTGACTTCCTTCGAGATAAGATTCCTTAAGTTCTAATGAGAAGTCGTGACCGGTTGGGACAACCAGTTGGATGTGAAGATAGTTACTCAATGAAAACATCGTGAACTGATGGAAGTAGGAAATATGGATCATTGAATTCCTACCCACTGGCTCATTGCTAACGTGCTAGGTCTGATCTCTCATGAGGTCGTGGGTGAGTACTGTCAAGGAAGTCCCATACTAGAAGGAAACAGCTGTTTAGTGTTCCCAAGTTTCCAAAGAGTCTTCAACTGATGTCAGTCCATGATGAATGACACTTTAAAAATAATGTTAGTAATTTTAATGGAGAATTCAAAGTCATATCAACACTAATTTCTTAGTAACTGAATAAATAGATTAATGCGCTGATAAGCAGACTGGAATGAAATTTGCTTGCCTACGCAACCTAAAGTGTTGACAAGACTTTTAAATGCGTAGTAGTAGTAAAGTGAGTTATATTGGAGTCCTTTTTTCTATCTTATGCCTATGAGATATGTCTATTGAAGATGGGAATTTACAAAGACCATTACTACCTTCGTAAAATTTTTCCAAGGGGTCGTAGGTTAAAGAGATGTAGAAAAAAATGCAGCATAATCAGTAAAGAACTTGAATAAGTTAGCAAACATACGTTATTCACGTTTAGTACCAGACTACTTTGAAGGTCAAAGTAGGTTGAGAGGGACCTAAGAGTGATTAAGCTAAGATGCATTACCAAACCTCAAATGTTTCTAAGCATTAACTTGAGCTATGTTGAGAAATAGTGACCAACTTTTATTGAGTCGGGAAAAAAAAATCGAAACTGATGCTTGAAGATTTTAGGTAAAATAGTTTGAAATCAGTTTCACAGTCAGATATCCGTCCACATCATAACTTCATCGAAATATTGATAATTATTTCACTCTATGCCTAACTTTTTCTTTCTTCTTCCTAATTTCTCACCATCAGACTGTCTTGAAGTGCATCAAACTGACTCGATAAATTGTTGCACCATATTTTATACTCTCAGTAGTTCACTAATCTCACAACTTGATAGGAAGCGGCTAAAGTGGAAATCAACATTTTAAGTTATCAGCCACTGAGGTAGAAGTGTTGGATTTCAACCTTTGTTTCATGTTACTGTGTGGTTAGGAAAAAACTTTTAGGATTTGTCCTGGTGCGAACTTGACAGACGCAAAGACCAATCACTAATTATTCGGACTCCTTATATACCCACGAATACGAGACCAAGGAAGAACACGATAGCGTAGTCGAATGGAATAGTATATTTAGATGGTTGTACCAAGATACCGATGCGTTCCAACTAACTGGCTAGAGAGTCGAATACGGGGAGTGCAACGTAACACGACAGCGTGCCAAATGGCGAGGACGCTTGACCGGGTGCCTTCAGCTTAGCGAGTCCAGTTAAACTATCAAGGTCAGAATCAATGTTGAGTATCGTCGAACCCTAGACTATTGATTTTGGGGAAATGTGTGACGCTACAACCCTTTTGGACTGCTTTGCCCTTTCAGTTGACCAGTCGTAATGAATGTGCAACTTTTGACCTAGTGGTTTTATATGGTCAGGAAAACTGAATAAAAGTGATGTATTTCTGTTGAATAAAGTATCTTCCTTTCAGTCACAGGCTGGTCATCGTCTTTTGATTTTTACGGTTCACTGATACATTAAGCTGTGAAGGAGAACAGTCACTATTTATTTTCAGACCAAGTGTCTCATCGCGATAGCATCATCCGCGTATTAATTATTATTATTCACTCGCTCACTTCACAACTTCAGCCTCCTAGCCTTGTCTCTTTCCTGTAATCTAGATCAGATGGATTAATGAAAAAGAAATAACTGATTATTTTACCCTCATAAAGAGATTAGGTTCCAGGAGCGAAGTAGGTCAGTGTATACATCAGAGACGTTTGACACTAAACAGCTAGAATGGTTTTACAGCCTGAATGACAAGTACTACTGAGTGTTGTGATTGGTCTACAAATAATTATGCTCACTTGTATTATGTTGAGCACTGGCCAGTCTCGTTTCACTGCCTACAAAGCGATAGTGATGATGATTTAATGTAAGGAGGTGCATACAATTAAGCACCTTCTTTTAACAGGATGGCCTGACAAAATATACAGTGATTCAGTTAAACTTCTGAGACAGAAGTCTGGTCACATAATAAACTCACAGAGAGTCGGCTTCGACGGATATGTGGTCAAGTTTAACTAGGCGAGTCGTTATTTCTTATTTATGTATCGGTAACACGAATATACTTGTCAAATGTTTGAAGTGAATCAGCTCTCTGCCTTAAATCTAAGTGTAATGAGTGTTAGCACCTATAAGGGATCATTATTTGAATAATTCCTGCTGGTTAATACTAAGGTAACAGACTGTTCCAAACACATTATACTGAACACTTTGCTCCAGAAATATTCAGTTACTCAGACAACATGCCATATAGTCTAATCTCATCGAAAGAACAATTTTTTTCAGTTTAATCACTCCTTTCCAAGGCAAAGTTCCAAGTCAATAAAATGAAACAAAAAATCTTCTTTATAAAGGTGAGTTTTCAAGCACAGTACTCACGTTTCTTTCCCTTCAACTTGCCCTTTGTATTTTTTCTAGACTTCTTTCGTACTTCTGATTCTTGTTTCGATTCATCGGAACTTTTCAGTGGAATAGTCTATGGTAAAAGGAGAAGACGTATGTGTATACATGCGTGTGTACTTGAGTTTGTATATGTGTGTATTTGAGTGTGTTGGATTTACGTAACAAGTGAGGGAAAAAAGAAATCCAAGAGGATTTATCATCTATTCTGCCCTACATGTATAGTTGCGGGTAACTTCAGCCCTTAATTAGTGAAGCTGAGCCATTCAAGTAGACATCTTGGAGGGATCTACAATATCCCAAGCTACTGAACCGAAAACCATGGTCTCTCATAGTTTTGTTCTGACAATCGCTTGTATCAGGCCAGTACTAACTTCAAACATAAGAAGAGACTTTTTCTCATCTGGCGTCCGTCAACATTAAACCAACAGGATACACAGATTATATTATTACAAACCATATTTGGAGAGAATCGATGGATGATTACCGTTCTTTCTGAAGTATCTGCTTGGACTCCAATGACCTATGTGAAATAGTGTTCTACAAACTTGAATTCACTAACTGCTAGTTCAAATCGTTTAAGTTCACGATTTGTTACCGTCTATATATGAGGAATCCTGTTTCACAAGGTAATATGTAATGTGATTCGAAATTGATGCCAATTTCATCGATTTATTCCCTTCTTATCGATTTCGATAAGGCGTAAAACGTTTTCATTACTTGAAATGTCTAGATTAAAATCTTAAGCTTTACTTGAGTAATCTCAAACACATAGAAAACGTTACTAGTAAGTTAAAGTTTGTTAATGAATATTGATTAGTCATTATATTAGTCAGACAAATCAGTGAGTATTAACGTAAGTTGGTTCAAGTTAACCCTGCTTTACATGAGCACATCGTGATATAAAGTACCAAAATGAAATACAGATAAATGTGAAAATATGACTAAAAGTTGTAGAAAGTGATAAGAAGGGGAGAAGAGAGAGTAAAATAAAAACTAAATTCACTGTGGTGACTAAAGATAATGTGTGGATGGATCTGCACCAATGACATCTATTCTGATCAGTATAGCCTAGAGTCTCTAATCGCCTATTTTGGTTGTCATGGCGACCCCAACGCACAAGCCTACATTTCCTTACACCACTCAGTTAAACAATCACAGACTTTATGAACTGATGCTAAGTTTCATTCTGGCCTCCTGTAACCTTTCTGCAGTTGAAAACTACTTCGGCTAACTTTAAGAGACTGGGTGGTCAGTAAGTAGGAATAAGTAACATATATTCTAACCATATGATTCAATGGAGGATATAACTTCATCGACTGATCTAGCTCTTCTGTCTAGGTCTATGTATTACTGACGTGATGGTCCACGATACACGGATAATGCTATGGAGGTAAAGTATGTCAAACACCTGAAGCTATTTCACAATGCATCAATACAGTCACTAAACAATGGAAATTGTGAAGATGTATGAAATCCATCCAGTTTTATAACAGCATGCTAATCAATATCTAAGGTTGGTTATAGTGATATACAGAAATACAGGTTTACTAACATATCTACAATGGATATCAGGAATGTGCTTTCCAAGCAATAGATAATGCCATTCTAAGTTCGATCTCATCACATTTATGTTCACTTTCTAACTCACTTCAAACATTAAACATATCTCAACTGGTGTGACTACTGGTTTATTGTTTTGCACATTATCCCGGTTGCTGTGCTTCACTAACAGATCGTTGCTATATTGATCTCGGTGATTAGCAGAGGAATCTAGGACACCGTTTTCACCCTATTTAGCACACGTGAGCTGGATGTACCTGCACCCCAGTTAGTGATGTTGTTCTCACCGAGGCTTGAACATAGGACCCTTCTCTTCAAACGCCGGGACGTTATCCACTAAACCAGTGGGGCACGATAGAGAAAGGTACCGGGCTCGAGCTACAGTTGGAATAAAATCATTCACTGGGATCCAGCAGCACCCAGATGATGAGTCTCAAATAGGACGAAACGCGTGTTTTGGATTCCTCTGCTAGTCACCAAGACCAATATAACGTCATAAATAATCAGCAGCATCGAGGCATCCACATAGGATCCCACCTGCAAACAGAGGTCGAACTATTTGTCCCTGTGTAGCAACAGGAAATTACAAGTATCATAACAATCTGTTGGTAGTTTCAACTAAATGCAGTTGAATTTCGAAGAGAGTATATGAGATACAGGAATAAAAATAATATCGGACGCCCGTTAGTCGTTGGTTCGAATCCTGCTTTTACTCAAATTTTCATTTAACCTTCAGTCGTCACCCAGTATCAATAATGCATGTCTACCAAACCATAGCAGTCTTAGATGGCCAAACTGATAATCACTATTATACTCCGTCTCTCTGCTTCAAGTAGATTTCAGTTGGGATGAGAAGTCTTAACTGGAAAGACAGTATGAGTACAACCAGGTGATAGTAACGCGGCATGAATTCCCATGGCGGTCAGGCTAGACTATTTATGGTTGAACTGAAATAAAAATCTGGTTGGCAGTCATGCATCGTAGCTCATTTAGTAGACCACCTGACGGAAAACCCAGTGGTTACTGAATCCTACTACGGTTTAAACTTTCATTTCATCATCAATCTTCGCCCAGTGTCAATTGTACTTTTCGCAGGATGATGGTTACTTAGACCGAACGACCTTGACCGTAAACATGTAAACCAATCATTATTATTATTATTAGTCCCTTGGGTTCCTAGTGGAACATAGGGCTTCAGTAGCACGCCTCCATTTCATCCTGTTCTCTGAGATCTTTTGAACCTGGTCCCACGACAGCCCACAAGCTCTCATTTCCTCCTCGCATGACCTCCTCCATGTCACCCTTGGACGTCCAACTCGTCGCTTCCCATGGGGATTCCACTCGAGTAACTGGCCTGACGCGTGATGTCCTCAGTCGGCCTTCTCAGTGCATGGCCAATCCATCTCCACTTCTTCCTGCATATTTGTTGGGTGATAGGTTCTTGGTTGGTTCGTTCCCAGAGTTCCTTGTTGCTTATTCTTATTATTCTGGCCATCTGATCTTCAGTAGCGAGCGTAAGCAGTTGTTGATGAATGTCTGTAGTTTATTGGAAATCCCTTTCGTAGCGCGCCAAGTCTCTGAACCATACAGGAGCACTGACTTGACGTTGGTGTTGAAAATCCGGATGTTGTTTACGCTTTATGCTGAGTGCAGAAGATCTCCACACTGGTTTCAGGCTAATGAACGCCTGTCTTGCTTTTCCGATTCTGACTTTGACGTCCTCGTCCGTCCCGCCTGTAGTTGAAACAGTGCTTCCTAGATAAGTGAAGGAGGTTACTTCTTTTAAGTTTCTCCCGTTGATGGTGACTGGAGTTTGTTGTTGTTGTTGATGGTGGTGGTGCGGTATCTTCATCACCTCTGTCTTCTCTGTATTCACTTGAAGTCCCGTCTTAGCTGCCTCTTCTATCAACTTGTTAGTTTTTGCCTGCAGATCTTCAAGTTTATGTGAAATTAGGCACAAGTCATCGGCGAAATCCAAGTCTTCTAGGTTCTTTTCCGTCGTCCAGTGTATCCCCCTCTTCTTGCTGCCTACTGTTTGCTGCATGATCCAGTCAGTTGAACACAATCAGGAATATCATGGGGGATAGTGGGCAACCTTGTTTCACTCATTCCTGTCTTCACTTCAAAAGCATCACTCAGCTTCCCATTGTGAATTACTTGGCTGGCATGTGCATCTTCATATAGTTGTTGAATGAGGCGGATAAAGGTTTGCGGTATTCCGTAGTGTTGAAGCAGTTTCCAAATTACTTCTCGGTCGACGCTGTCAAAGGCCTTCGTAAACCAATCAGGTGATAAATAACTCCAATGTCTATTGGTTTGCTGATGAGAACCTAATATACATAAACTTAAGTGAAAATTGTACTAAATGGTTTTATAAATATTGGACATGGAGGTAAATTTAGATATTCGATATCAGTTAGATCTGCATAAATTAATTCTGCATAGCTTTATTGAAGAAACTTTGACCAGAATCACAAGTAGAAGGTTAAAGTTATCGTAGAGTGCGATCTCTGATCAGTGTTATGAATTTTAAAAATGAGTAGTTACCAACCAATTACGTTGGTACGCGCGCACCCAAATGACGAGGTTGGCCGTACAGTCCCCAAATCAGTGTGGTCTGGTTAGCGAAATAAATAGAACAATGAAGGTAAACTTCTAGCCACCCATGTTATGCTTGACTAGTTTATTATTATTTTTCCCTTCTGTTCCTAGAGGAACATAAGGCTTGAGGAACACGTCACCATTTCACTCTCTTCTCTGAAGTATTTTCAACTTGGCTCCATCACTGCCCACAAGCTTTCATTTCTTCATCATACCATCTCCATATCACCCTCGCCTCAGACGATCAACTCGTCGTTTCCCATTTAGCCTCCACTCGACGGCCTGGTCTTGTCTAACCTGACGCGTGATGTCTGCAAACCGTCTTCTCAGTCCATCTTCACTTTCTTCTGCATATTTGTTGGGCGATAGGTTCTTGCATCGTTGGTTCGTTGCAGCCAGAGTGAGTTCCTTGTTACTTACTCTTATTATTCTGACCATCTGATCTTCAGTATTGGGCGTATGGAGCTGTTGATAGGATGTGTCTCTACAGTTTGTTCGAAATGCTTTCCGTAATCCGTCAAGTTTCTGGAACAGGTAGAAGCCCTGACTTACTCGACATTATTGTTGAAAACCCGGATGTTGTCCACGCTTTATGCTGAGTGCAGTTCAGTAGATCTCCACACTGATTATTTCAGATTAGTGCAACAAGGTGTGTCTTACAGTCTTTCTCACCTTGGTTTTGACATCCTTATCTGTGCCGTCACCATTGCCTGTAGTTGAAACGATGCTGCCTAGGTGGGTAGGTGGTAGAGACTACTTCCTTCAGATTTCTCCCGTTTATGGTGGTTGATGCCTGTTGTTGTTGGTTGGGTATCTTCATCACCTTTATCTTCTTTACATTCACTTGAAGTCCCGTCTTCGCTGCCCTGCTTCTTCTGTCAACTTGTTAGGTTTTGCTTGTTTATCTTCGAGTTTGTGTGACATTAGTCATATATCATCGACGAAATCCAAATCTCCTAGGGTCTTTTCATCAGTCCAGCCAGCGTATGCCCATCTTCTAGCTTCTCACAGTTTATTGCATGACCCAGTCCATCAGGATCAGGAAGATCATCGGTGATGATAGTAGACGGCAACCTTGTCTCACTCCTGTACAAACTTCAAAGGCGTCACTGACCTTTTCATTGTGAATTACTCGGCATGTGGCGTCATCATATAACTAGCTGTTGAATAAGGTTGATAAAGGTTTTTGGCACTAAAATCATAGTGTTCAAGCAGCTGTCTGCCAAATTACTTCTCGGTAGATACCTCTATCGAAGGCCTTTTCAAAATCGATGAATTTGAGGTAGAGAGTTAACTCCCATTCTATACTCTGTTCTATGATGATGAGTAGCGTAGCGTTGCAATTTGATCCCCACATGATTTGTTTTTACTGAAGCCATCCAGCCTGTTCCGGTCGTAATTTTGAGTGGAGAGTATTTTTGAGTCCCTTCAGAATGATGCGGTGTAATATTTTGCTTGGAGTGACAGGAGCATGATTCCACGCCAGGTAATCACCCTTTTTTCATCAAATATCTTACGAGGGTTGTTTTTTGACGACGTTTCTCAACAAATCATGTGGCTACATAGACTAATATTTATGCACTAACTCCTTTGTCGTACACTACTATTTTCTCGCATTTTATGAAAGCAAAAGGGCTTCTACCTTATGAGGTATTATTCAGCATTTGGTTGTCATTCGGCTTTTTAGTTCTTTTCTTGATTCCCTACTGTACAGTTTTTTGGGTTATTCAGCACTTTGAACTTTTTTCTGGACACATCCAGCTAATGAGTCACAAATAGGACGAAATTCTCGTCCTGGATTCCACTGCTACCCATCACGAGGGGAAATTATAACATAATAAACATTCAGGCAATATTGCGGTATCAGCATAGAAGCTCATACGTCAACAGACATAGATCAATCAAACCCGGGACAACAAGGAAGGATTACAAGTATCAAAAAATAAGATTTAAGGTGCGTTATTTAGTAGTTGTTCCCAACAAGTAACTTCAATTTTTGAGTAAAGAAGTGTCAGCAAAGAAATATTCTTTTCCAACGATTTCATTTACTAAAGTTGCCCAACGATATTTATGATCGTAGCAACAAATTACTGTCTATTATTAAACAGTAGTGTCGTATGATTACTATAATTTTCAGAAGTAGGACAGAAATGTTATTACTAGTCAGAAGGAGACTGATCCACTGACCATCCTGTGTGTGTTGAGTGGTCATAATGTTTTAGAAGATAAAGATTCAGTATGAATGATTTGGTTATGCATGGATGACATAGTCGGAGACTTTTGTAGTAAGTTGAAGGGACATTGGAAACCTGGGAGCACTGAACAACTGTTTCGTCCTACTATGGGACTCTTCAACAGTGAGTACGCATGATCCTGCCAGGGACAAATACTCTGCGATGATATTGGGTGATGGTCACGCTATGTCGTGAACTGATAGAAGTTGAAAATATGGACCATTGGATACCCACCCAGTGGTTCAATGGTAACGTGCTGGCCATGGAACCTGGAGGTCTTGGGTTAGATCCCTGGTGGGGCAAGTTCATGGGTGCACATTGCTGAAGAGTGCAATACTAGGACGAAAGAGTAGCTGCCAGTGCCCCAGGTTTCCAATGTTGCTTCAACTGATGTCGGTTCATGATGAAGACCAACTTGTATTAGTTAAGGGGAACCCTGTAAATTACTTTAAAGAAACTACTAGAAAGGGTCAGATGTTCGAAGATGATGAAGTATTTATGAACAGAAGTGTTGATACTGTTTTCTACTCCTCTGGATCATCAAGCCAGATGATGTTCCAAAACAATTTTACAGACTTGACACTGTGTATGGCCAGTTTATGTTGTATCATGGGTAAAAATAAACTAACAACTCTATACTGAAGTGACAAAAAGTGTTATCCTGTCCTTAACGCATTGACGGAGTAGCTATTTTCTTCAAAGATCTAAAGACAACAATTTTTAAGAACTTCAGCTACATTGTTGCCTTTAGATTTCAGTCTAATGTAGTGTGGTTTCTTTCAGATGGTTGTCAACTTTTGTACTTGTCTTTTTTTTATCGTATTATTGTCAGTGAATTAAAGTATATAAACCTTTTCTAGTAGGATGTTAAGCAGAAGTGTTTGGTCAATGTCTAGTGTATCTTTAGAACAGACTTTCCGAATCTGTGAACATAATAAACGTATAAGGTTCTGTTCTTTAGTGAAAGGTTATAGCCTTCAAAGTTGATAAACTGTTTAATTCATATGAGTTTTCTGTACACTGATCTATGGATAGAGTTATCTTATTTTCTTGCTAGTAGCACAAATATACTCTAGAGTGTAAATGAACAACATTGAAAGTGTTGAGGAGGTTATTCAAACCAAAGTATATCTCACAAATGAAAAGTTTAGTTAACTAATTAATTTCATACTGTTTTGTAGCTGACAAAAGACAATCCATGAAGTAGATTAATATCATGCTTAATTCTAGAGGCATTTTTATTTTTGTCTCATTGGAAAATTAATAAATCTCTTCTTTAATAGAATTTCTTAGTCTGAATAGGCTAAACTTGAATTCATCTGGTGAGAGAGGAAGGAGAAGATATCAGACAGAAAGATAGACAGATAGATGGATAGATAGACAGAGAAATGTATTATAAATAGTGGGTCAAATCCATTTACCTCTTTATGAAGTAATGCTATAACAAAACCATTACATTCACTTGATGCTTGAACTCGTATAAATTTATTCTTTGCTATTATACTTGGTTTGCCTTGATTGAATGAATCTATTTCTTCTTGAAAACTTGAAAATATCGGAATTTTAATATTGAATACTGTTCTTGTGTTTATTCCACGATTATTAGCTGCCAATGTTTCAGCTTCTTTCAGTAGGATACGATTAGTAGCTTCTACAACTTTTATAACTATATCATCTGTCTCATCTATATCATCTGAATGAAATAATATTGTAACTGTGTGTAAACCTGGAACTAAGAAATAAAAATAATAATGAAAAAAAAAGAATTACAATGCTCATATTGTACATTCAGTGATGTCTAGCAGTGAAATTCAGACTCCTATTTGAGATCAGTTGACTGGGTGTTTATATGCATGTAAGTGCCTGTCAACTACTAAGACTTGTAACTTTCAGTAAATTGTGAAGTTGATCGTAACATCATACAACCCATTAGGAAAAAAAAAACATATAATGCAATATATATTACATGCGTATAGGACTTGCTGCCTTATTTCTGAAGGTAAATCAACATTAATCAGTCAATAACAACATTGAACCATGGAATAACCGCATAATGGCAGAAGTTCCCACGTCTCATATCAGCTCAACAATTAACAAAGTAGTCCCTTAGAAGGCGAGGAAATCAAGAAAAATTTGTCTAAAGCAGTAAAAGAGAGAGAGGAAGGAGGAATGACAAAATACTAAATTCATTATAGCCGTTCTGATGAAGATAATGTCAAGTGAACCCTAACTGGCTAGTCTATACTTCCTAACATGGCTCAAACCAATAGTCAAGGATTTCCTAGACTGATGGCATGTTTTAATCTGACCACTCCAAGCCTTTTTCCAGCCTGAAGGTACTTCAACCAACATTACTTGACGAGGCAGACAGTGACTACGCATGCCTAGACATCTTAGTCAATGAAGAGTCACGATCTTATCAATCTGAAGGCAAACAGGTGTACCGTGGTGCAAAAGCATGTTGTTATGCCGACTGTAGACGGTAAAATACCAATCTCAGATAAGCATAGTCACAGTTGTGTAACTTTATTTATTTTAAAAGAAATCCTACTGAAGATCTATGTTGCGACACCGTTGTAAAGTTTTGCTGACGAGCTTTTCACTGACCTCTCACTCATTTCTATACAACCTACAGTTCTTAGTGGAACCGACGATAATTCATTATCACATTCTCTATGCATATGATCAGTCATTTCATTTTTGTCAATTATGTTAATGACTGACGCTAAAGGCCATCATAGTGACCACTGAAATAACCAATCAAATACCTATATTTCATGTGAAACTTTGCATCTAAAGCAAAAAGACCTGATTGGTTGTTTCACTGGTTGCTGGGGTACACTGTAGAGTCAGCCATGGCAATGATGGTCCATTTGTATATATGAGTGACTCTAAAGACTCCAGCCCAGTAATTGCTGAAATAACCAATAAAGTTTCTCTATTTCGGTTGGAAAGGTAACTTTCCATAAAGTAATGAAAGCTAATTGGTTATTTCGAGTGACTTAAAGCTTATCCTAAAAAGTGCTTTGAAAATCAATTTTGGTTCTTGATTCCATAACAAACTAACTTTTTAGTCGAAATCCTAGAATCTGATTGGTTATTTCAGCAGTTGCTAGAGTGACTCTTGAAGTCCCTCTTCTGATAAAAAGGAAATTTGAGCTTCACTTTAGCAATTACTAAAATAACCAATCAGGTTTCACCATTTCCTTTAGGGTGTTAGTTTGTTATGAAATAGAGAAACCTATAAATGTGTAATCACAGTGAGATAATCAAGAAGAGACAGGCATTAATACTAACGTGTAAAAAACTTACATTTTAACGCATGTCTTAGTAAAGAGGATGTTTTTTTAATCAAACGTGAACGCCTGTTTTCTCTGACAAGATTTCCAGGTAGTGTCCACATATCTTGTAGTACAAAAGGGTCTAGAAATGGAATGAAAGAAATATTTTGAATTACTGATGTGGAAGTTTTTTTATATTTTTAAGCAAACTACACGATGACTCAGAGAGTTTTTATTGTTTAACCTAGGTGACGGTAAACACCTTAGCCAGTGTCAAATCCTTTGGTTAGACTTGTGCTGTAGATCACATACAAATTTTAGGGTAGTATTTATAATACACTGATTTCAACTGAATCATTGACAACCTAGGAGCATTGAATAGCTGTTCCTTACTTGTGCAGTACGCCCTAGCAATGTATACCCCTCGCCCAGCCAGGAATTGAACTCAAGACCATTGGATGTCAAGGCAGAAATGTTCAACAAAATAATGCTGGAAAAATAGCCAAATTACAAATGAAACATCACCAAATATAGGTAGAACAAATTGGGTAGTCAGTTTCTCCTTAGAAACCTTAAGATCAACTGAGACCAAAGTACTCGAAAAAAGACTAAACTTCAGCGTGACAATAGATCATCTAAAACCCGATGATGTCATAACTAGTATAGAAGTAGCATTAAGCTCGGAGAATGCAGCAATTTTTGAACAAGTTAGAGCACAGTGTGCATTAACACTGAGAAAAAAGAAGAGGCAATGAAACTTAAAACAACTTGAAAATTCCTTTCTGAATAATCTACGAAATGACAGTAATATAGTAACTGGTAAAGTTGGTATAGGTAATTCAACAGTAGTTATGGACAAATTGAATCATTTCAACAAAATTGACCAACACATCCAAACAGAACGATTTGAAGAGATCAACAAACCTATAGACACAGTCATGAGTAAAATAAAGAAATCTACAGCCAATCTGACACGCCAACTAAAACCATCTCTAGGTGGGTCTAAATGGTTTAATTTAATGCCAAAACCTAAAAATCCTAGCAGAATTTATGGCACTACAAACTTATATAAGTCAGATTATCCCGTTAGACGCATAGTTGACTTCAGAAATACCCCAACATATAAACTAGCAAAGTATTTAGCATAGATATTGTGTCCTATTAGGAACCGTTCAAACTCTGGACTAGTCACTTCTTACGAGTTAAAAATAGGAATTAATAATCTACATATAGAAGAGGATAACCTCGCCTGGTTAACTAGTTTACTAGTTACTAGCCGGTCCTAAGCCCGGGTAAAGAGGGAAGGTTGGCCATAGGGCTAGCAACCCTACACCGGAAAACAAATCTAACCGCTAAAGAAACTTCAAAGCACAAACAAAATATAAAAAATGAAAACAAACTTATTCCCCGCTGGAATCGGAGAGGCGAAATGACGCCAGTTGGTGGAAGCCTCCATTCGGGAAGCCAATTGGCCGATGTGTCTTCTCGCCCTCGATGAAAGCGAAAGCAAACGTGGGGAAATGGAATGCCCGCACGATGTTTGAACCCAGTAAGGCAGCCCAGATTGCAAATGAGATGAGAAGGTATCACATCGAAGTGCTTGGGATTTGCGAAAGCAGATGGAATGGGAGTGAACTCTCCAAACTATCAACTGGAGAATCAATAATCTACTCAGATATTGTCACCTAGACGACAACCACGAGCACACTGAGATTTCGAGTGGCTATCATGATGTCCTCAAGAGCATCGAAGGCTCTCATGCAGTAGGAACCAATCTCCTCCAGGATCATGACAGCAAGATTCAACTCAAAAGGAATGAAGGTCACAATCATACAATGCTACACTATGCTATGCACCTACAAATAATGCAGAGCAAGAGAAGAAGGAGGAATTCTACAGACAACTCCAATCAACACTGGACAAGACACCACTCAAGTTGACGATATCAAAATTCTAATGGGCGACATGAATGCCAAACTGGGAGGGGACAACACAGGAAAAGAACTAACCATGGGTCGAGAGGCGCTAGGTGAAATGAATGAGAATGGAGAATTGTTTGCAGAATTCTGTGCATTCAATGATTTGTTGATTGGAGGCAGTGTGTTCAGGCACAAAGATATCCACAAAGCGAGCCACATGGATTTCACCAGATGGACACACTAAAAATCAGATCGACTTTATCTCAATGTGGAGAGAGTGGAGACGCGGCCAGCCTACTTGACACAAGATCAGATCAACACGGGGGAGCAGATGTAGGTTCACACCACTCACTATCTAGTGCAAGGAACCTTCCAAATCAAGTTAAAAGCCTTCAAGGAAGCTGGTGATAGACCGCAGTTCAAGTACAACACTCGGAAACTGAAGGATGAAACTACAAAGGAGATCTTCACTTCAACCATCAAGACAAAATGGGAGATATCGAGGAACATCCCTGAAGAAACTTGTGTGGAAGAACACTGGAAGTCTTTGAAAGAGATGTGGAAAGAAATCTGCACAGCCGTATTAGGACAGAAGAAGAAAGAAGATAAGAAATGGATCTCGATGGATACACGGAAGCTGATAGAGCAGGGAGAGGAGGATGGTGAAGCAGCAGATAAACCAGTGCAAGGATGCACAACAAGATGAGGAACTGAGTACAATGTATAAAACACTACACTGGACAGAGAAGTGAAGAAGAGTGCACGCGAAGACAAAAGACACTTCTACGACACATTGGCAAGTGAAGCAGAACAGGCTGCCGCAGGTAGGAGACACAGAGACCTGACAACATTGTATCAAATAACCAGGTTGGGAAGAGATCAACGCAGACGAAACCAATAAAAGATGATGACGAAAATTTAATTACGAAAGAAGAGAAACAAAGGAAATAATGGGCCAACCACTTCAAGAAGCTTTTGAATCGACCACCACCACCACCACCACCTGCACTTCGTCCAGAAATACCACCTGCAGCCGCTGAATTACAAGTGAACATTAATCCCCCAACAAAAATGGAAGTCCTGAACGCCATAAAGCTACTGAAATGCGGGAAAGCAGCAGGACCAGATGGAATACCGCCAGAAGCACTGAGAATAGATGCAGAGACAACAGCGGACATGCTCACACCACTATTGCAGAAAGTGTGGGAGGAAGAGAAGGTACCTGGCCATTGATAGGAAGAAGGGTTACCTTGTCAAACTGCCGAAGAAGGGAGACCTCAGTGTTTGCAAGAACTGGCACGGTATCACTCTCCTGTCCACCCAGAGCAAGTAAAATATTAAGCCGCATCATCCTGGAGAGGCTTAGGCATGCACTGGATTCAAAACTACGACCGGAACAGGTTGTCTGGCTGGCTTCAGGAAGTACAAATCATGTGCCGACCAAATTGCAACACTTCGCATCATCATAGAACAGAGCATAGAATGGCAATCAGCTCTCTACCTCAACTTCATCGACTTTGAGAAGGCCTTTGACAGCGTCGACGAGAGGTAATTTGGAAACTGCTTCAACACTACGGAATACCGCAAACCTTTATCCGCCTCATTCAACAACTATATGAAGACACCACATGCCAGCCAAGTAATTGACAATGGGAAGCTGAGTGATGCTTTTGAAGTGAAGACAGGAATGAGTGAAACAAGGTTGCCCACTATCCCCCATGATATTCCTGATTGTGTTCAACTGACTGGATCATGCAGCAAACAGTGGGGAGCGAGAAGAGGGGGATACGCTGGCTGGACGACGGAAAAGAACCTAGAAGACTTGGATTTTGCCAGTGATGACTTGTGTCTGATGTCACACAAACCTGAAGATCTGCAGGCAAAAACTAACAAGTTGACAGAAGAGGCAGGGCAGCGAAGACGGGACTTCAGGTGAATATAGAGAAGACAGAAGTGATGAAGATACCGCACCACCACCATCAACAACAACAACAAACTCCAATCACCGTCAACGGGAGAAACTTAAAAGAAGTAACCTCCTTCACTTATCTAGGAAGCACTGTTTCAACTACAGGCGGGACGGACGAGGACGTCAAAGTCAGAATCGGAAAAGCAAGACAGGCGTTCATTAGCCTGAAACCAGTGTGGAGATCTTCTGCACTCAGCATAAAGCGTAAACAACATCCGGATTTTCAACACCAACGTCAAGTCAGTGCTCCTGTATGGTTCAGAGACTTGGCGCGCTACGAAAGGGATTTCCAATAAACTACAGACATTCATCAACAACTGCTTACGCTCGCTACTGAAGATCAGATGGCCAGAATAATAAGAATAAGCAACAAGGAACTCTGGGAACGAAGCAACCAAGAACCTATCACGCAACAAATATGCAGGAAGAAGTGGAGATGGATTGGCCATGCACTGAGAAGGCCGACTGAGGACATCACGCGTCAGGCCAGTTACTCGAGTGGAATCCCCATGGGAAGCGACGAGTTGGACGTCCGAGGGTGACATGGAGGAGGTCATGCGAGGAGGAAATGAGAGCTTCTGGGCTGTCGTGGGACCAGGTTCAAAAGATCTCAGAGAACAGGATGAAATGGAGGCGTGCTACTGAAGCCCTATGTTCCACTAGGAACCCAAGGGACTAATAATAATATAATAATAATAATATAGAAGAGGATGAAAAATGGTTTTCTTTGATGTAACAGTTCTGTATACTAAAATACCAATCAATTCGGTAATGGCGGCAGTCAGAAATCAACTAAATATAGCCTCATAACTAATTCAGAGAACAAAGATATCGGTCGTGCTGTTGTGTATGACATCCATAGTCTTCAAGTTTCAGGATAGAATATATAGACAAACAGGAGGAGTAACAATGGGATCGCCAATATCCTCAATCGTAACACATATATTTATGGATAATGGGAAAAACATGAAGTTACAAATGTTTAGTCCTGCACCAAAAATATGGTGGCGATATGTGGATGAAACATCTACAGTGTTGAAATCGGAACATATCGACAATTTCCTCATACATACAAATTCAGTGTGGATGCAATCCAATTCCCTTACGAGGTAGAAAAATGAACAGTGAGAATTACCAATGTTGGATTACAAGATAAAACGAAGCACAGACGGTGATTTGGATATTACCTTCTACAGAAAATCGATGTGTAATGACACTGATATGATTATGAACAATGATGATTTATGCTCGAAA